CCGGACGATAGACTGTGGTTCTTCATATGATTAAGTCGTCTTATTGGCTTTCCTTTTTCCTGGTATAAATATGTGAACCCTATCCCCATTATTAATGAGCTCAGAAATTAGATTTTCTCAGTATTTGTAGCTAATAAGCACTGCATGAAAAAAGCTATGTATAGTAGGCTATATATAGGATATAGGAAAAATAGTAAAAGATATTTCACTCATGATAAAAGATACAAGGAAGACGTGCGATGATGCGGAATAGTAAAAGCTCACACAAGCATAACAGATAAGTGGATATGGGAATATAAAATTCAACATTACATTATAATATGTTAAATTTCTTATCAAACTATCACACCATAATATGGAAGTTCATTCAACTATTTTACTAGTGAATGCCAAAAGTTTGAGTTCAATAGTTCAAGCAGTCCAGATTAGCTCACTATTTCGTTCATAAATGGGTACACCCGAAGTATGTGTACCAGTTTAGGGTTAGGCCACAATTACATGTACAAATACTGGGGGAGTCACTTGGTTAGTCCCCGAACTTGTAATAAAACCAAAATAAGGAAAATTGGGATAAAACTATAGCCTAACCTGGTACACATACTACCCTCCGGTGTCCGCAATCTTGGTTTTCATACTTGGGGAATACCCATAAATCATTGAATAAATAATTTGAAAAGATCGGATGTTTTACAGTGATCCTAGGTAGATCCATATGTTTGGATGCCTCATTAGCTTTAAAAGGTAAAAACCTTTGACAGGTAAAAATCAACCATTTCAGTTTGAAGGGGGAAAACCTCAAACTTTTTTCAAACCCCCCAATTTGCAAACCCATTGACAGTGAATATGATGAAAAAATATTTTTAGTCAAATTCAAACACATACTTTAGTTGAGGAAATTAAACTTGGAATTTAGTTAGATACATGGATCAATAATAACATGAAAAATTGTAAAACATGCAAAGAATGTCTGTGAAATCCATTGAATATTCTAAACTTAACGTATAAAAGATTGATAAAGTGGATCCGGCTAAACAGTGGTCGGGAACCCATGGCCATATATGGCTCTTTTAGTGACGGCATATGGCTAGTATTCCAATGCTAAGCTTACTATTGTCATGAGATTTCAAATTCTCTTATAGCCAAATGTGGCAGAAAATTTGCTAATACGTATGAGAACACGTGCCCAGCTCAGATCTATGTTATGTAAGAAAATTACCGGACAGGCATTGTGACAAAACTAGGGGATTCTGGAACATATTTTGTGACATCACAAAGCGATAGTCAGGAGAAATAGAAAAAAAAAGCTTTTCGCCCAAGAAAGAAAGGTGATAAGGATCGAGGATTTCAACTTTTGCTGCATGTGAGCAGTCGTTACAGACCTGCAGCGACAACATGCAGCATCAGAAGTCACATTGAATGTATATTGACATTGTATTTGTCTAGGTGGGTAAAATTTTTGGCCCCGGGTTCGAAAACCTTGCCCACCGCTGAACTAGAATCATCATTAGGGTGGATAAGGAAAAAATAATCACAAAAAATATGTAAGAAAGGTGTGCGACATCGAATAGGCAGAGTAACATATCGTACAAATCCTATTACTTGGGGGTTTGGGTTATACTTGAGTTCTAATTCAGGACATGGTTGTTAACATAATATCAGCAAGTGAACTCTTGAGATCATTAGTTCGAGACCAGGTTGATCCGGCTCATTATTTTACTTAGTTTAATATATTAGGTAAACAGGTACAAATCCTAGGAAGAGTGGATCCCTATGCTTGAATGGATACCTCCTTTAGCTTTAAAAGGGAATGAACTTTTAATTCTGTTAACAGGGAATATGATGAAAAAATATTTTTAATCAAAATGAAATGCTTGAAGAGAGATTTAGTTGGAAACATTGTATAAATCACACACTCGAGTCCTGATATGTTCAGGGTGTCTGATCTTTAAGCATTGTGGCAGATTCATATTCCGCAGGTTAAGAACAGAAGGGGCCTAAGTCAAGTTTTATGAAATTTCACTTTTCCCAATATTTTTGGGGTTTTGAGCCATGATCTACAAGATGGTCGTCTTGAAATCCTGAATTTCTCAATAATAAAAATTTTAGCTGGACTTAGGGACCTTAATTTCATTTCTAGAAGTTAAGAACAGAATGGGCCTAAGTTTCAATATGATGGACTTGGACATCAGAAATAAAATGTCTGAAACTTACATTCATAATAATTTGTTTAGTGCGTATTGGGCTTAATTCACCTTGCATCACAAAAAAATTCAAAAGTTGTTGAAAACAGAAAGGGCCAAAGCCCAGAAATCAAGTGTAAAAAGATATTAATTACAAAAATATTCTCATCCACATTAACATGACCAAAGATAAGGTTATTACTAAGTGTAAATATCTAGATATTCAAAAATAAAAAAATTCAAAATTGTTCTCTTGCTTGTTTCTCAAAACTCGAAATTGTGACTTAGGCCTGTTCTGTTCTCATCCAGCGAATTATGAATGAATGCATGCTTGAGCCTTATTTAGATAGGAATTGAATACACAAGACAATTTATGAACCTCTTGAAGTATGCGCACCAAGATGTCGCACAACCTGAACATAATATGTGTACCAGGTTAGGGTTAAGGTTGTGTGACATCTTGGTGCGGATACTTCAGGAGCATCCAATTTATAGTATGAAAGTATTTTTTTTTGATAAAAATGAACCAGTTGAATAAAATTAAGGCTTGAATGACTTATTCCCGGCTTCAAGGATTATTCAATTCATTGTTTGTGGATTCTACTCGACAATGAACTTAACCCCGGTATCAGCAATCAATGCTTTGAATCTTTCCAACTGATCCTTGTTGAAGAAGCAATATTTCATCTCCAATGTTTCAACCTGACATTGATGAACAATTCCACTGATTGTAGTTAATCCTTCATCTCCGAGTTCACTGACTTGGTTCCGACTTAGATCCAGGAGCTTTATCTGAAAATATTAAGTTTTTCATTTTAAAATCACAAATAGCAACGCAAAGTTAATAAAGCTCTCCTAGATCAGTGGTTCCCGACCGCCGGTCCGCAGGAAATTTCATTCTCTTGTTTATCTACCGTATCAATCGCTTTACCGAAGCCGAAAATGCGAAGTTACGTTTATAACACAATTTCTCTTCCGCCATCATATTGCTGTTTGATAGGTGCGGTATGGCCCCGCGACATCTTGGCGCCGAGTAATCTTTTGACTATTTCGGTTCCGATTCATCGCGAAGGCGCTCCGTCAAATCTCGCAAGATTCAGAAACCCACAAATCAGCATGCATGCTTTTTTTGATTAATAAGTCGAAGTTACGTTGGTTTATTATGAATCTCTCTTCCGCCATCATATTGGTGTTTGATAAGTGCGGAATTGATGGCCCGGCGACGTCTTGGCGCCGAGTAATCACACTTTTACTTTTTCGGTTCCGATTCATAGCGAAAGCTCTCCATCAAATCTCGCAAGATTCACAAACCTGAAAATCAGCATGCATGCTTTTTGCATTTTGCATTGATATTACCATCCATATAAAAGGTTATGAGTATTTCTTTCTTTGTTTAAACCAGAAAACTGTCAGGACCAGTATAATATTCCAGAGCCATAACACCCAGCGAGATATGATCGTATTGCGACCTTGCAGGTGGTCACGAGACATACAACAAAAGCATGGGCCGTTGAGATCTTTTTCGGGTGATGCACAGCAGGATTTTGACCCTGGTGCCAAGTTAGCAACGACTTTATCATTGCAATATAAATTCATTTTGTTTGGGGCGTCGATCAACTGCAGACGGATTGATATGATGAACCCGGTGAAACCTTAACTTTACAGTCCAAATTTATAAAAAATCATTGTCACAATTCATTCTTAATTAAAACGAAGCAAATAAATTGACTGTGAGCCGCTGAAGAGCTTTGTGTTGCGAAACCTTTTTTTGATGCCTCGTTTGCAATCCTGTATTGGAAACGAAACAGCAAAATTTTCACTGGAGTTAATTGTGTGTGTACATGTTTTAGCATCTACATGTTTTTTTATGTTAGGTGTGGGCCTTTTTTAAGCATAGTGGGTGCCCACTGCATGTTATTACGCAAATATATGGTATTATTTTATGTTCCAACCATTCCAATTTTTGGCCGGCCACTATTTGATAGTTTTTCCACATGTGAAATGTTTTTAAGTGTACCTTTTTTTCTCAAAGCGTAGTGATTGCCTGACATTACGCAAATATATGTTATTATTTTCTGTTCCATTCATTTAAATTTTTGCCGGTCCCAAGTACATTTTACCGGTCCGCCAGGTTAGAAAGGTTGGGAACCAGTGTCCTAGATGATGGAATATTCATAGATAAAAGCCTCAACCGCCGGTCTGCGTCAACCATCCTGCCGGTTCGCCAGCTATAATCCAATGTTATATCTTAATAGCAAAATGCAAGGCATTGATGTTCATTTATTTTGTGAGTTTAACTCCTATTAATGCGTAAACCAAACTCGTTCAGATGTCATATGCTCATTTCAAGCCCTGAATGCTGAATGTTTTGTTTAGTGTATGACGTCATGAAGATGTTCACTTATCCTGTTAAAAAAAATACATTGAATGGCTTGTGCAGGATTTTGTGCCTCTGTAGCATTATATTTGGTTTAAAAATCCACTAATATCTGATTGCTTTTTTCTTAATATAAAATTTTGGTAGCGGAAGTAGCCAAGTTAGTTTGGCTGATGAATAGCTTTTATTTGATACTGAAAAATGGACAATATTGTAGATAGATCTCTAGTAGGTACCAATACACTGATCTCCCAAATCCAAGTCGAGTCTTGAATGGAATATTCGTGTAGGGCACAGCTTTTTTTTTCAAATTCAACTGATGGAATCGTGCATATTACGACCGCTGGATGTATTGCCCTAACAACTCCAATTTCTGTAGATTTTTCAATTTATAATTACGCATTTATGCTGGTTACTTTTTACTCTCAAAGATTTCAACTCACCTTCGCATTGCCAGTGTTTTCATTGAATACTTTCATTTCTTCTGCTGTCGGATTGCAATACCGAGCCTTGAATACCTTCACCTGACATTGTGTAACAACTAATCCAACTTCAGCCCAACCAGCAGGTTCAAGATCCATGTTGCCACTGACATCTAGTTCATCCAACTGAAATAAATAAGAAATGTAAGAATATTTAACATGGTAGGAATGTCAACAAAGCAATTGATTAACCAGTAATAAAGAATCTCAAGCAGAACAGCTGTGGGAGAAATGAATGAAGTGATCTAAATAGATATCCACTGACACTAGAAGCAGGAAGCTGAAACTCGCAGTGCTCAAATGACTTCAATAAAGAAGAAATTGCTTTACTGCCAAAGATTCTCCAATAAGAATTCATTTTATAGTCTTGTTTGAAGCTGAACCAATCCCTATGCGATGATTACCTAGTTGGTTTTCTGCAACGCTAGCCACTGGGCGGTCATGGCTTAGAGTTAACAGGTATATACCGCAAACATTTTCCCACCAAGCAAAAAAAAGTTTCAACCCCTTATACCAACGGTGCACAGCCCTCGGCCGTTGTGAAAAAATAATGCGGCCGTCCACATACAAAATCCTATAAACAAAAATAAAAAAGTATAAATATAGGATTTGGTGGCTATGCTGGCGTATATTGAAGCAAAACAGAATCACTGCAAAAAAGTCAGACAAACTGATGCGTCACAATCTGAATTGTGTATTTGCTGTTGGGGATTTCCCTTCACGGTTAAGATTGCTTAAGCGTTTCGGCAGCCTAGCAACGTAGCAAGCTAGCCTAGCAAGGCATCCGCAGCTCACAGCCTAGGAAATTGTAGCAGTTTTATTTGATTCTTACTCTGATTTGTATGACAAGCCTGATAGTGAATCTGTCGATGGCCAACTTATCAGTGAAGAATACCATTTCAAATGAGGTCTAATTAAGCTTGCTGTTAGCAACCAGATTTTGTTTATTACAGCGCTAGCCTATATTAAACTGCCTAAAACTTTTAAACATTACTTCATGTCGTCATTAAATTGCTACAATGCTTTGCAAACTTTTATAGAATAAATTCATTAAAATATTTGACATTTTATTATACTTTTGAGGACAAGAAAATTGGGGCAACCGCCCCTCCCAGACTTTCGATTTTTTTCCAAATTGTACAACCATTATGCAACTTGCTGCAATATATCCGCTCAAGAATAGGTCCACCGAAGGTGAAAAATCCGTTTAAAATGCGAATATTATACTTTCAAGTAGTCATACATACTTCATAATTGGGCAGACTGCACCTCGCATGGGTCAAATACACGGTTATTATGAGTCGACATCATAAAAGCAAAAATAAATTGCGTGCCTTAGGCGCGCTCATCAACCCTCTGGGGGTCATTTGAATACAAATTAATGCTATGTGGCCGCCAATAGCAAAAAGGTTGTTCACCCATGCCTTATACTAATTAATTCTTTTAAACATTCTGGATCAGATCAAAAATGGAAGTATTATCCCTCATTTTGCTGATACCGATAAAATGGCCGATATTGCAGATACCTGATACATCTCTAGTAGGTACCAATACACAAATCTCCAAGTCGAGTCTTGAATGAAAGCAATTGAAATCAAATTTTAAATGTGTCAGGTCCACCAATTGAAGCATTGAAACCAAGTTCATTTGAGTCCCCAGTAGGTCATGATTCAACCTATGGACTCGTGCATACTACAATCGCTGGATGTACAGAGCCTTGTTCTGAGCAAACAGATTGAGATTTGAAAATGTATATCCCCCCCCCCCACATCCAGTTCTTTCATGGATTTTTCAATTTTAATTATGCCTGACATTGCAAAACATCCAACTTCAGCTAAACCAGCAGTGCCAAGATATTTGTTGCCACTGACAACCAGCTCATTCAACTGCAATGAATGAAAACTTATTATTTAACATATTGGAAATGCGAACACAACAATTGAAATCTCCAGAAAAGCAAAAACCAAAAAAATTTGAAAAAAGGTCAATGTATCAGACAATATATAAAGAGTAAGGCTTATCCCTGGGGTTCAAAATATGGGGAAGAGCAGGGATCAGTGGTATTATCTATGATTATTCTGTGTACCAGGGTGGCGATGGAGATAAAAGTGAACTTCGTCACGTTGCGAAATGGTTTTAAAATTGGTAGAAACCTTAACGGATAATTGTAATTATAAGCATTTTGGCAACCTTCTTAGGAGCGTTCCTTCGAAAGGAAAACCATTGAAGAGTTCGGTAAAATATCCGCAGTGACTCGATATGATAAAATGGCAGTAACGTCGGCATCATCAGAAGATGGCAAATGAAATAAAATAAATACTTGGATAGTTGGATATACCAATGCCTTTTTTTGTTTGCTTTAATTAAAAATGTTCAATAAACAGAAGTAAAATTTCAATAATGAGAATTTTAGCCAGACTTCATCGTGTGTTGGGTTTTGCGGGGTTGTCGTAAAGATCCATTGGTTGCCAAACCGCAGCCTGCGGGCCAATTACAGCCCACGTAAAATATAATATGGCCCGCCGAACTTGATTGTAATGTTCAACACTATGTTTTTTTTTTTTTCGTTCTAGATCAATTGTTACGTCATTTTTACATTTTAAGCACAAGTATATCATAACAGTTCAATTCTACTGGTGTATACTCGTTGCGGGCACTCCCCTGCCCCGCCCCCAAATATTTTTCCGCTTCTACTTTTGCTTCTCTTTTATAGAATAAATTCAATAAAATATTTGACATTTTATTATACTTTTGGGGACAAGAAAATGGGGGCGACCGCCCCTCCCCCTCCCCGACTTTCGATTTTTTTCCAAATTGTGCAACCATTATGCAACTTGCTGCAATATATCTGCTCAAGAATAGGTCCACCGAAGGAGAAAAAAACGTTTAAAATGTGAATATTATACTTCCAAGTAGTCCTACATACTTCATAATTTGGCAGACTGCACATCGCACGGGTCAAATACGCGTTGTCAAAAAATGTGCGTGCCTTAGGCACGCTCACCCACCCCCTGGCGGCCGTTTTGAATACAAATTAATGCTATGTGGCCGCCAATAGCAAAAAGGTTGTGCACCCTTGCCTTATACTAACTAATTCTTTTAAACATTCTGGATCAGATAAAAAAAAAAGGATTAGCCCTCATTTTGCTGATACCGATAAAATGGCCGATACATCTCTAGTAGGTACCAATATACAAATCTTCAAGTTGAGTCTTGAATGAAAGCTTTTGGAATCAAATTTTAAATGTGCCAGGTCCACCAATCAAAGCATTGAAACCAAGTCCATTTGAGTCCCCAGTAGGTCATGATTCAACCAATTACTTTTTATGCTCTTTTTATGTTTCATCTTACCTTTGCATCGAGAGTGTTTTCCTTGAACACTTTCATTCTTTCTGCTGTCAGTTTGCAACTCCAAGCCGTGAACACCTTCACATGACATTGTGTAACAACTAATCCAACTTCGGCCCAACCAGCAGGTTCAAGATCCTCATTGAAACTGACATCTAGTTTATCCAACTGAAATAAATAAGAAATGTAAGAATGTTCAACATGGTGAAAATGTAAAGAAAATAATTGAAATCGCTAGCAAAAGCAAAAACCCTATAAAATTTGAAAGAACGTCAACATATCAGACAATATATAAAAAGTAAGGCTCATCACTGCGGTTCCAAATATGGGGAAGAGCAGGGATCAGTGATATTTCCTATAATTATTCTGTGTACCAGGAAGTGTTCACTATTAGCGCATTTATTGGGAACAGTTTTTTTAGAGACTGCGAAATCGCACTTTTTTCGATTTTGAGGGGCAAAAATTCGAAGTTGACAAATATTTTCGTGCGAATATGAAGTTGACAAATAAGTTGGGTACTAGTACTTTTACCGACTTGACGATGTCCTCGGCGATTTTCCGATTGCAACATTATTGAATTTTCGGAATATGTGAAACATTCTCTATATTGAATTAAATGACTTTTTGCGGGCTTACAGTTCTCCCGGGAAATGATGTGTACCAGACGTTAGATAAGATATTATTAGCGATTAATACTTTTCCCGATGCCCCAAAGTTATATTGCAAAAGATGAATTTTGTGACATTCAAAATAAATAATAAATAATTAATTTATATCACATTTTAATTTTCACGACACCCTGTTTCGAAAATACAAAGTTATATCGCGAAAGATCGTTATGTTACATTTAAAATAAAACAATTTCGCGAATAAGCTTGATGTTAGCAACCAGATTTTGTTTATTACAGCGCTAGCCTATATTAAACTGCCTAAAACTTTTAAACATTACTTCATGTCGTCGTTAAATTGCTACAATGCTTTGCAAACTTTTATAGAATAAATTCATTAAAATATTTGACATTTTATTATACTTTTGGAGACAAGAAAATGGGGGCGACCGCCCCTCCCCCTCCCAGACTTTCAATTTTTATCCAAATTGTGCAACTTGCTGCAATATATCTGCTCAAGAATAGGTCCACCGAAGGAGAAAAATCCGTTTGAAATGCGAATATCAACTTCCAAGTAGTCCTACATACTTCATCCTAATTGGGCAGACTGCACCTCGCATGGGTCAAATACGCGGTTATGATGTCATAAAAGCAAAAAATGTGCGTGCCTTAGGCGCGCTCATCAACCCCCTGGCGGCCGTTTTGAATACAAATTAATGATATGTGGCCGCCAATAGCAAAAAGGTTGTGCACCCCTGCCTTATACTAATTAATTCTTTTAAACATTCTGGATCGGAGCAAAAAGGGAATATTAGCCCTCATTTTGCTGATACCGATAAAATGGCCGATATTGCAGATACCGATACATCTCTAGTAGGTACCAATACACACCTTCAAGTCGAGTCTTGAATGAAAGCAATTGGAATCAAATTTTAACTGTGCCAGGTTCACCAGGTTCCCATGTGCCAAGTCGCCTACTTTTGCCGTAATTGCATTCTTTTGATTATGTTTTGTGTTCATGACAATTTTGGTTAATTTTGAAGGTCCGCCGGCCCTCAAAATTTGTTTTGAAATTTTACCGGTCCGCGAACTGAAAAAGGTTGAGAACCACTGCACTATATGATATTTTCTAACCGATTTGAACTAAGGCAAGCCCACATTTAAAAATGACATGTCTTTGCAGAAGCTCTGAGATATTTGAATGTAAATAAGAAAATAGGTGAAGCTAGCTCATGAAACAGGGGAGGATTTTCCAAGGGATCTTGCATAATATTCCGGAGGCCATGTAAGTCAACCTATCTCTTAGAACAGTGTTTTTCAACCGGTGTGCCGTAAACTATCGTCAGGGGTGCCGTGGGAAATTTTCCAATTTGTATGTTCATGCGATGTAGCGCCCGGCAGAGTAATCATGTAGTACTGTTTTATACCAGAAGGTGACAGCAGCAGGTGGCGATTGGCCGCTTTGTTTGTTTTTATTTGATTACTATTCAAGATGTCCAATTCAACATCTTTCTTCAATGTTTCTTCTAGAAAGCTCATATTAACAATTTAACACTTATATTGTGAACATCAGGGCTTTTTTTCTCATATTTTCAGCTGGTGGTGTGCCTCAGTATTTTCTCAATAAAAAAGTGTGATTTGGCTCGAAAAACACTGTCTTAGAACAGCGGGTGGCGACTTTCAAAGTGATTTGAAGTGACAAATTAATAATTATCCGATTAGGGTCAGGGACAAATTAAAAAGTTGAATATTCAGCGCAATCTGCATTCCTAACCCTAATTAAATAATTACTAATTAAATAGTAGTTGGTATCGGATCGTTATCGGCGACAAAAGTGGTATCGGTACATCTCTAGTATAGACTCGTTGTGGGCACTCCCCTGCCCCGCCCACAAATATATTTCTGCTTCTAATTTTGACTCCCTGTCAATCAACTTTGGGAACCACTGTGTTAAACTATTACATTGAGTGATGTGCGAAGGATTTTGTGCTTTTGTGGCGCCATACTTTGTATTGAAGACATTGGAAAATAGTATTCGATTGATATTTTTCTTCATATCTTTCTAAATTATTATATAATATTTGTGTAGCGAAAGCAGCCAAGTTATTAGTTTGGCTGATGAATAACTTTCATTTAGGTGATACCGGAAAATGGCCAATATTGTAGATACATCTCTAGTAGTTACCAATACAAAATCTCCCAAGTCCCAAGTTGAATCTTGAACGGAAACGATTTGAGTAAAATTTTAATTGTGTCAGGTTCACTAATTATTAAAGCATGGAAACCAAGTTCATTTGAGGGTAGGTCATGATTCAACTGATGGACTCGTGCATACTACAATAGCTGGATGTACTGCCCTAACAACTCCAATTTCTGTAGATTTTTCAATTTATAATTACGCATTTATGCTGGTTACTTTTTACTCTCAAAGATTTCAACTCACCTTTGCATTGAGAGTGTTTTCCTTGAATGCTTTCATTCCTTCTGCTGTCAGATTGCAACCCCGAGCCTTGAACACCTTCACCTGACATTGTGTAACAACTAATCCAACTTCACCCCAACCAGCAGTGCCAAGATCAATATTGCGACCGACATCTAGTTCATCCAACTGAAATAAAAAAGAACTTTAAGAATATTTAACATGGTAGGAATGTCAACAAAGCAATTGATTAACCAGTAATAAAAAATCTCAAGCAGAACAGCTGCAGGGAGAAATGAATGAGATGATCTAAATAGATATCCACTGACACTAAAGCAGGAAGCTAAAACTCGCAGTGCTCAAATGACTTCAATGAAGAAAAAATTACTTTACTGCCAGAGATTCTCCAGTAAGAATTGATTTTATAGTCTTGTTTGAAGCTGAACCAATCCGTATGCGATTATTACCTAGTTGGTTTTCTGCAACACTAGCTATGGGGCGGTCATGGCTTAAGAGTTAACAAGGCATATACCGCAAACATTTTCCCACCAAGCAAAAAATAAATTCCAACCCCTTATACCAACGGTGCACAGCCCTCGGCCGTTGTGAAAAAATAATGCGGCTGTCCACATACAAAATCCTATAAACAAAAATAAAAAACTTCAAAATATAGGATTTCGCGGCTATGCTGGCGTATATTGAAGCAAAACAGAAGCACTGCAAAAAAGTCAGTCAAAACTATGTGTCACGATCTGGATGGTGTATTTGTTGTTGGGGATTTCCCTTCACGGTTTCGGCAGCCTAGTAACGTAACAAGCTAGCCTAGCAAGGCATCCACAGCTTACAGCCGAGGAAATTGTAGCAGTTTTATTTGATTCTGACTCTGATTTGTATCACAAGCCTGATAGTAAATCTGTCGATCAGGGTTGCCAGACCCCAGCGATCAAAAAAAGCCAAACCAAGACACAAAAAAAGCCAGAAAAAGCCAACAAATTTTACTAAGTACAAAAGTCCCATGATTTGCCAGATTTTAAGCCTTTGGCAACGTACTGATGATGATGTAGAGCCATCAGTTCATTCAGTGAGGCACACAAATAGAAAGTAAAGTTCCTATAGAACTGTAGAAAGTGAAATGAATATCAAGCGAGCAGCATTATTTACCATTCAACATATACAATACAGGGTGCCGCTTCAGTCTGTCAGTATTTAATATACCTACATGTTTCTACTTAAACTTGTGATATACCTTAAAAAATTCTCCTTATATCTGTATATCGTACTTTACTATTAAAAATTTTTTCACTTTTAAAATTTATAAACCATCAATTTTATTAAAAAATTATCTAACCCCCTGCCGCTCACAGGTGGACCACTGATATCTAATTCAGTAATTTTAGCGTAGTTAATCACATCGTTACTGCAATTGCCGAATTAAACTAAAGCTCACATAAACCATATCAGGCATAATGAAAATTAAGTTATACAACTATTTTTTGGAAACAGAACGTAAAACTGACAAACAACACACAAAACTATAAAAACGAGGCAATGTTTACAATCCTGCTTGAACATCTGTCTGAGCAGCTGCAGAAACTGCAATTATTTCTTATTGGGTATGGTTAAGAGTTAATGTAACAAACAAAGAAATCGATGCTCCAGGAAATCCTAATGTTAAGTAGCTAAGTACAGGTAATAGGCTATTGTTCAGTTGTTACACACTAAATATTGTATTTCATATGATTTTAATAATAGACACACTAAATATTGTATTTCATATGATTTCAATAATAGACACTAGAATAGACTTGAAAAAAGCCCAAAAAACCAAACGGAAATTCTGAAGCCAAGACGCCAAACACGTTTGAAAAAAGCCAAAAATGGCAAACTTGGCGTTAAAAAAGCCAATATGGCAACCCTGCTGTCGATGGCCAACTTATCAGTGAAGAATACCATTTCAAATTAGGTCTAGTTAAGCTTGCTGTTAGCAACCAGATTTTTTTATTACAACGCTAGCCTATATTAAACTGCCTAAAACTTTTAAACATTACTTCATATCGTCATTAAATTGCTACAATGCTTTGCAAACTTTTATAGAATGAATTCATTAAAATATTTGACATTTTATTATACTTTTTGGGACAAGAAAATGGGGGCGACCGCCCCTCCCCCTCCCAGACTTTCGATTTTTTTCCAAATTGTGCAACCATTATGCAACTTGCTGCAATATATCTGCTCAAGAATAGGTCCACCAAAGAAGAAAAATCCGTTTAAAATGCGAATATTATACTTCCAAGTAGTCATACATACTTCATAATTGGGCAGACTGCACCTCGCATGGGTCAAATACGCGGTTATGATGTCATAAAAGCAAAAAAAAATTGCGTGTCTTAGGCGTGCTCATCAACCCCCTGGAATCTGTTTTGAATACAAATTAATGCTATGTGGCCGTCAATAGCAAAAAGGTTGTTCACCCATGCCTTATACTAACTATTTTTTTTAATCATTCTGGATCAGATCAAAAATGGAAGTATTAGCCCTCATTTTGCTGATACCGATAAAATGGCCGATATTGCATCTCTAGTCGGTACAAATACACAAATCTTCAAGTCGAGTCTTAGTGGAAGCAATTGGAATCAAATTTTAAATGTGCCAGGTTCACCAATTAAAGCATTGAAACCAAGTCCATTTGAGTCCCCAGCAGGTCATGATTCAACCGATGGACTCGTTTATACTGCAATTGCTGGATGTGACCCTTGTTCAATGACAATATTTGACAATATTTTCGTGCGAATATGAAACTGACAAATAAGTTGGGTGCTAATACTTTTTCCGACTTGGCTTAAAATAAAACAATTTCGCGAATAATTTAGATGAAATTTTACTTTTTACGAGAACCCGTTTCTGAAAATACAAAGTTATATCACAAAAAAAATGCGTTTTGTTACACTTATTTCGCAATTTGCACTCCCAATAAAATACTCATTTTCCAGAATTCAAGTCGCTGATGAATCCGTTCCTATCGTTCAAGCTTCACACACGTTCAGTCGAGTGTCTGGCGATATTTTGGTCGACGATGAATTGAAAAGTTGCCACACGTGGTTTGTATAACGATAATAACTGAAAATTAAGATTTTGCAGCAAAAATGAATTTGTCTGAAAGTGTTATTTTACGAATTTGCCTGCAGAAAATAAACATGCCGAAATGCTTGATTATAATTGATGATTGTTAAATTTATTTTACACCATTAACGCGCCCTACCAAGTGCGGCCACATAAATTGCAGTTGCCTCAGTATGGACTGTGTGTTTTTGGCGCTCTCACATTAATGATAATTTAATGTGTTTTTATAGCTTTTTTTTGTATTTCACAACTTAGTATCAAAGGGTATAATGCGCTATTTATGTGCTTCTCGTTCGACGTTAATTTTAAGGATTTCAACGCTTCATGAGGTCGAATAAAAATTATTTATCAAATGGATCGATATTTCGCGACACATTCCAAATTATTCGGGAACCACTATCATATCATTATTTACTTTTTATATTCATGTTTTTCGATAATCATCCTCGTTGTGTTTGGTTTACATGTGTTCCTATTAGCGTAATTGTAATATATGGAAAAGGTCGCACTCGGCCATGAGATGCGAATATTTTATACTAGGTTTGCAGCATTAGAGAGAGTGCTATTTATAAATGCTGAAAGTACATGGTATTCATTACTAAAAAATTTGTCACTATATCAGTGGTTCTCAACCCGGTGCCATCTGATCTACCCCGTAACTAATGTGGATTCCAGCTTGCGTGTTTCAATCATTGTCTATAAGATGGAAGGAGTAACACAAATGTGAAAGATAGTCTTTGCTGTTCACGCGAATTAGCACCCATTGATTGCACGAAAGTTTATTTTGCTACAGATGTGCTTGGCAGGTGTCATTTCGTTTCTGATGAATTTGCTCGTTTTAAACAAGGATTTAAACGAAACTCTGTTAACGGAAAGACTCCTATTTAATTTGCAATATTAACGGAAGGAGCGCTCCTTCGAATATCTATGTTGTTTAAAGGAAGTAAAAATAAAAGCTAGGGCACCTTACTTTTAAAGTGCACTTTGGCACTTTTATTTTCGACTGCGAAGCACTTTCGCATTCATAATTCGCTTAGAGTTAACACTGGTACCAGGGTGGCGATGGAAAACAAAGTGAACTTGGTCAGGGTGCAGATGTGGTTTTGAAATGGACAGAAATCTTACTAAATAATTGAAATTTTAAGCTTTTTGGCAACCTTTTTACGAGCGTTCCTTAGAAAGAAAAACTGATGGATGCTGGAATAAATTAAGTAGGTACGGTGCAAAAACCGACTTGGAAACATGAAGATGGCAGATGAGAAGGACTTGAAGAAAAAAAGTGCTTATGATTATAGAGTTGAAGTTTTTTATTTTTCGTTCTAGATACCATCAATTGTTACGTCATTATCACATTTTAAACATGAGTATATCTGGTATAGACTAGAGCTGTACAGATGTATCGGTATCGGCAATATCGGCCATTTTTTCGGTATCGGCCATGTATCGGTATCGGTTTGATTAAGGCCGATATTTCCGATACATTTACCTTTTTGATATGGCCCAGAATGTTTTAAAAGATTAGTTGGAATACTACTTTTTAATTAATTTTTTGTCTGGAGAGATCGTGAGCCATGAGCCATACATGTCCCCACCGCGAGAGAATAGAATTCATGTGTATTTAGCTATTTATCAGCCAAACTAGCTCAACTAATTTGGCTATTTTCGTTATCAAATTTTTATATTGACATTTTTAATATTACAAAATAATAATAAAGAAATATATCAACACAGCACATAAAAAACGCAACTAGGCGCCCAGTTTTAAATCATACAGTGGAATTGGGGTCCTTATTAACGGCACATAAGTTTTTGGCAAGGGTATAAATTCTGTTTGTCGTCAAGTACGAGTGTCATTTAGTCCGTCGACATCGATAAATTCCGACACAATTATTCCTCTACGCAGGTATTAATTTTAATTTTGTTCAACTACACAATTACTTCATAGATATATTGACATGACCGCCTAGCCCTAGACAGTCTCAAAATATATGATAGCAATTGTAAAATATTGTAAAATAGTAAAGTAAAAAAACATCCTCGACGGTTATAGGTAGGCCTTCCTTTTGTCGGTGCTAAATAACACGTCACAACGATGAAAACATTCGGCGATTTTAGCAAAAGGCAATCGTACGCGTTATCGGCGACTTCTTCAATTTTCAAAAAAAATTAAAAATTCAACAGCGTTGTGACAAAAGCGCCGCTTATTTCCTATTGTTCTCTACCACTGAAAAATCAGATTTTACATCGGGCGGGTATTCAAGCACCGGCCCTTATTTATTTTTATGTTGTTCACACGGGCGGCTATTCAAACGGGCCCTTAATCAAGATCGGGCGATAAAACGAGCATTTAAGGTACCCTCCCCCCACTCCCACAATCTCTTCATGAGCCTTTTATAATTATGCATTTACAATTTCCACGGTTCATCTTACCTTTACATTGAGAGTGTTTTCCTTGAATGCTTTCATTCCTTCTGCTGTCAGTTTGCAAACCTCAGCCTTGAATACCTTCACCTGACATTGTGTAACAACTAATCCAACTTCACCCCAACCAGCAGGTTCAAGATCCTCGTTGTAACTCACAACTAGTTTATCCAACTGAAATAAATAAGAAATGTAAGAATGTTTAACATGGTGAAAATGTAAAGAAAACAATTGTAATCTCTAGCAAAAGCAAAAACCCAAAAAATTTGAAAGAACGTCAATATATCAGACAATATATAAAAAGTAAGACTTATCACTGCGGTTCAAAATATGGGGAAGAGCAGGGATCAGTGATATTTCCTATGATTATTCTGTGTACCAGGAAGTGTTCACTATTAGCCCATTTATTGGAAACAGTCTTTTTAGGGACTGCAAAATCGCACTTTTTTCGATTTTGAGGGGCAAAAATTCGAAGTTGACAAATATTTTCGTGCGAATATGAAGTTGACAAATAAGTTGGGTACTAGTACTTTTACCGACTTGGCGATACCCTGGCGATTTTCCAATTGCAACATTCTTGAATTTTCGGAATATGTGAAACATTTTTTATATTAAATTAAATGACTTTTTGCGGGCTTAGAGTTCTCCCGGGAAATGATGTGTACCAGACGTTAGACGTTAGATAAAATATTATTAGCTTAATACTTTTCTCGACGCCCCGTTTTTGGAAATACAAAGGTATATTGCAAATATGCGTTTTGTTACATTTAAAATAAAAGATTATTTGAGTTTTAATTATATCAAATTTTACTTTTTCTGACACCCCGTTTTGAAAATACAAAGTTATATCGCAAAAGATGGATTTTTTACGAGTCTTGCCCGCAGAAAATCAACACTCTGACATGCTTGATTATAATTGATAGTCGTTAAATTTATTTTACACCATTAATTAACGCGCCCTACCAAGTGCGGCCACATAAATTGCAGTTGCCTTAGTATGGACTGTGTCTTTTTTGCGCTCTCACATTAATGATAATTTAATGTTTTGTCATAGCTATTTTTTGTATTTCACAACTTAGTATCAAGGGGTATAATGCGCTATTTATGTATGCGCTTCTCGTTCAACATTCATTTCAAGGATTTCAGCGTTTCACGAGGTCGAATAAAAATTATTTATCAAATGGATCGATATTTCGCGACACATTCCAAATTATTTGGGAACCACTATCATATCATCATTTACTTTTTATATTCATGTTTTTCGATAATCATCCTCGTTGTGTTTGGTTTACATGTGTTCCTATTAGCGTAATTGTAATATATGGAAAAGGTCGCACTCGGCCATGAGATGCGAATATTTTATACTAGGTTTGCAGCATTAGAGAGGGTGCTATTTATAAATGCTGAAAGTACATGGTATTCATTACTAAAAAATTTGTCACTACATCAGTGGTTCTCAGCCGCCGGTCCGCGGCAACCTTGCTGCCGGTCCGCCAAATATTTTCCCAATATTAATATATATATTATGAGCGAATTGCAAAATACGAAGTATTGACGGCATGTCCGTTAGTTTTATGATTTTTTTTTTACTCTTATTGATTTGTAGTACCGGTACCGGTATTCGTCTAACGACCGGACTTGGTGAGAAGTCCTCTACCCAGGGTTGTTCAAAACGAATCGAATATTCGAAGTTATTCGAATAGCAAAGTATCCGAATACCTTTTCGGCTGATTTTGTTGCAATTGCAAGTCGAAAAAACAAGACGATTTATTAGGAAAAATACTTTTACCAGCTTTCTGGCAAATAATTTTGATAGCGATAGTTGAAAGTATCGTACCAGGATGATTTTTTGTTGCGCAAAACAATTCAATCCGTGACCGATATCAGCATTTGAAAGGTCATACCGTATTAATTTAATTTTGTTCAACGTAACTCATGGTTGTATCGACAATCTATGGACATAAAATGTCGTATTAATTTAATTTTGTTCAACGTAACTCATGGTTGTATCGACAATCTATGGACATAAAATGTGCGGTAAACTGACCGATATTATTAATTATTGATTCCTATTCTCATATTTATAAAATAATGAAAGTATTAATACCAAATGCCACAGGTATTTGTGGACATAAAATGTGTGGTAAACTGCCCAATAATAATTAATTTCGGATTCGTATCTACAAAATAATAAAACTATTATAACTTTTAAATACAAACAAATGGTAACCATTATCAAAAATATTTTCCAAAAAGCAGGATGAAGTATAAATTATTTTCCGACTTGTAACATTTTTTCCGTGAGTCCGAAAATAAGAATAAAAAATTAATTATATTCGGGCACAATATCACGGCAATCTGTGGACATAAATTGTGTGGCAAACTCGCGATTAATAATAATTTTTGATTCCTATTTTCGTATTTACAAAATACAATGGCGATATGTGAACTTAGAATGTGTAATAAACTACCCGATTATAATTAGTTTTTGATTCCTATTTTCGTATTTATAAAATAATAAAAGTATTTTTACTCAAATATACAAAGGTGATCTGCGGACTTAAAATGTGTGGTAAAGTTCCCGAATATAATCAATTTTTGATTCGTATTTTTGTACTCACGAAAAAAGTTGTCACAAGTCGGAAAAATAACTAGTACTTTCTCCCGCTTTTTGGCAAATTATTTGGGTAATGGTTGGTATTTAAAAGTATGGGCGATTTACTAGGATGATTTTGTGTTGCGCAAATATTCAAATCCATCACCGATACCACTGTTTAAAATGCCTTGCCGTATTAATTTAATTCTGTTAACACAACTCATAGTATATTAAATATATACATCGCAATAATCTCCAAACATGAAATGCCTGGTTATATAGCCAGGTTATAGATAGCAGTTATTCCATTGTATGGAAATTCCTTCATACACTTAGATAGGCTTCTATTACTTGATTTTATTTTCGAAGTATTCCAAATAGTGAACTATTCGGTATTGGCCATCCCTGCCTCTACCCATTTCGAACCCTGAACGGCTGGATGTTCGTAAAGTCTATGACCTTATAACGACGGCTAACGTCATAACGGAGAAGTTTGATAGCACACAGTTAGGGTTTTGTTTTTTATCAATTCTAAAAAACATCCTGTTTTAAAACAAGGACTTGTTTTTATCATTTGTTTTTTTCTGTATTTTTTATTGAAATACCTTTTGCATCCTCGTGAAACTACTCCACAACGTTGCGTTCTGGCAGACGCATAAGTTGCCGAAATTATATTTTTAAAACTGTAAGTCAAAATTCTTGCTTTAACTTTCACTTCTATTGCGTACATATATTGCCAAGTTTGGATCTATACCAAAGCCATACAGTTTTAACATGAATATATATCCGAAATACCAGAGAGACGTTTTGATCATGAAACTTATTCAATCAAGGGCAGCCTTCGGCAAAACAAGGTGCGGTACGATAATGAAGAATGTAGTTACATCGGCGGCAACCTGATTTAAACTATAAACAGGCTATGCTAATTGTAAGACCCCTCTAATGCAATGATGTCAAAACTAATCTGTTATCACCCCATAATAGGGATTTGAGTTTCTGTATTGACATTTTTCTCATAAAATAAAGGCATTATTACGGTTAAAACTATTCAGTTAATCTTAATGTATACTTAGCATACTTTGTTCTTAATGTTAAAGTGATGGAGTTTTTCAAAGTTATACAAACTCATTTATTCGGTCGTATTTCAATTTTCACAGGGTGGTTCTTGTCGTAGAGTCGTTCACGTAAGGGCTTATCGGTTGCATCTTCCTGCGCCAACCAAATTTGCGGACGCATTGAACTAAAGCTTGAGAAGGCGTGTATGGGCCTTCATCGATATTTGTGGCGCTTCGAAGGATTTATTGCGAATAAGAAGCGCTTGGCATGTTTTTGCATCCATTTTTCTTTAACCTATTAAATTAATTAATACAAAAAATATCGGAACTTCCAAGTATGAGAACCAAGATGGCGAACACCAGAACGTGGTATGTCCACCAGGTTAGGGTTAGGCTATAATTTCAGGTACAAATACTACCGGAGTCACTTGGCTAGTCCCCGAACTCAAAATAGAACAAAAATAGGGGAAATTGGAATAAAGTTATGGCCTAGCCCTAACCTGATACACATACTACGTCCATTGTCCACCATCTTGGTTTACATACTACTTTTAAAACAATTCTTTTTGAACGAATCCCTGCACACAGTACGGTACCTAATTGAGAACCTCGCAGTTTGCACGTTCCGTAATTTACAGTAATAATTACCTATAATTCAGAGAGGTTTGATAGTAAAATGGAGACAAAATATCAACAAAGTGTTATCCCGTTCTTTCAAAAGAAACCCAGCGGTGAAAACCAAGTTAGTGGTGTCGACAGGACAGATGAAGAGACTGCTACTTCAACTCCCAGCAGCGAAAAAGTACCTCTTCCCATGTGCCAAGTCTGCGCTAAAATTCTTTCAAACAACGCAATGAAACCCGCAAAGCCAACGAAAAAAATAATATCAAAAAGACAGCAGCAAATTTCTCATTAAATTGAATTTTTTTGCACCGCCTACTTTTGCCGTAATTGCATTCTTTTGATTATGTTTTGTGTTCATGACATTTTTGGTTAATTTTGAAGGTCCGCCGGTCCGCAAAATTTGTTTTGAAATTTTACTGGTCCGCGAACTGAAAAAGGTTGAGAACCACTGCACTATATGATATTTTCCAACCGATTTGAACTAAGGCAAGCCCACATTTAAAAATGACATGTCTTTGCATAAGCTCTGAGATATTTGAATGTAAATGAGAAAAATAGGTGGAGCTAGCTCATGAAACAGGGGAGGATTTTCCAAGGGATCTTGCATAATATTTCGGAGGCCATGTAAGTCAACATATCTTTTAGAACAGTATTTTTCAATCGGTAAGCCGTAAACTATCGTCAGGGGTGCCGTGGGAAATTTTCCAAATTGTATGTTCATGCGATGTAGCGCCCAGCAGAGTAATCATGTAGTACTGTTCTATACCAGAAGGTGACAGCAGCAGATGGCGATTTGCCGCTATGTTTGTTTTTATTTGATTACTATTCAAGATGTCCAATTCAACATCTTTCTTCAATGTTTCTTCAAGAAAGCTCATATTAACAATTTAACACTTATA